ATCACCACATTTCTATCCAATTTTATTTTAAAGTAAATACAACTTTATCGACAGAAAAAAATGTCTGTAATTGCATTGTATTTGTGTTCGGGCTTTGACCAACTCCAAACAAGTTGTTGCTTAGGCCTGCGGTGGACTAAACAATTTTCCAAACTAATACCCCGCTGGGAGCAGCCTGAACCGCACACATGAGCCACAAAAAACGGGTGTGGAAGGGAGAGTGCGTGCGTATATAGAAAACGGATTGAATGAAGCAAACAAAACGAAACGAGGCAAAAAAAAACCAAAATCCCAAAAATCCCTTGATTTATTTCTAATACCCATACACACATCCAAGCAGACACACACGTGCTGAAGGCAAAAATATCCTAGTAAATGGAGCAAGTGAAAATGTCTACACAAAACAAAAAAAAAATAAGAAAAATTCAACAACAAGAAGGAAAACTTTATCATTTCCCTGAGGAACTAAATTGTGCCACCGGCGGTTTGTTTGCTTCCTTTCAACTCGGGCGGGTCCTTTCTCCGAATCTCCAGCTCTGCCTACTCCAAATGCCTCGAACCACTCAAGGATCTGTGGCAAAGGAGGCGGGCATGCAAAGTGAAGCTAAACGAAAGTGCCTCAATTTAAGTTGTAAGCTGATTTGCTAGACCGTAATATGGCCGCCCCTAACCAACTAAAACCATTCTGAAACCCATATGTAGGTACATATATATACAAATACATATATATACATATGTACTATGTGCGTCGCTACAAGTATATGAGGCAGTCACCATTGAAGTAGAAAAACTTTTTGAATGGAGCAGCAACAGAAAATGCTCAAAATTAAGGCAAAACTTTTGGCAAGTATTCCCTTTTTTGTCGATGCCAATGGGGCGGGGCGGAGAGCATCATGCATTTGTAATGAAGTTGGATGAGTGTGCAAAATAAAGGGAATACATAAATATTATTACAGATTGCCACTTTACTGGGCAGCAAACAAAGGGATATACACTCGCTTGGGCGAAAAGGATTTCTCGGACATTTCCATATTGCTCGTTAGTCAAGCATGGAAGATTCTTTTACATTTCCATAACCCCGTCTAAAGTCTAAAATATAATGGAGAAGAGTTTACAGGAATATTTACCTTATAAATAAGATAAATATATACTCAAGTCCAAAATATGCTACCAAAAGGTTTATTTATAAATATTTTCATGTAAAATTGTGCTTTATTTTCATTAGTCAAATATCTAAAACTAAATAATACAAGTCAAGGGCTCAGCCATAGCACACTCTATGAAGAGGATCAAGTATTCCCCACAATTCACAAAGACTTCCTTTATTATAGACTCTAAACGAAAGGAGCAGGGTGAAGCCTTCATGTCTTCGAGCGGGCTGTTTTGGTCTGATTTTGACACAAATCCCTTTGGTGCTAAAGCAATTTATGCGGTCTCAAGGCATGGCAAATGGTATGAGACTAACCACCAACTACTACTATACTCGACTCCCTAACAAACACATACAAGATGTGCGCTCTGAATGCGAGAATAGTTTTTCTGTATCCCAGAGAGTGAGAAAAGAGGGATTACCGAGAAGGAGAGATGTGGAAGGTCTGCCTGCCTCTGATCAACCCACTTGCACTTGGCTGGTCTTTGGTTATGGTTGGTTGGTTATGGTTAGATTGGTTGCTTCGTTGGATGCTGCATAAGTGCAATTTTATGTTTTGGCCCCCGAAAAGTTCCTTTGCAGTAGTTGATAAATGGCTCACCGACGATGGTCGGCCCTCAACGGAAAAATGGTTATGGAAATCTCAAAGCCAAATCCCTTCCATTCCCAGCAACAAAACTGAAAAAAATGTAAATTTCTCTACATAAATCTAACAATTTTCAGACATATGTGTGCATACATTTGTGTGTAACAGGGAAGGAAAAGGGCAAACATAACCACATGCCACGCCTAACAAGCCGCCACGACCGCCGCCTACCTTTGTGAGTGGTACATGGCCGCAGATAAACCGCCCAAAAGTAATGCCAAAACATTTCGTGTCATAAATTTTACGACATAAGCGCGAAAACCAAAAACAACACAAAAGCCAAAACCCTAAAAATAGAAGGACAAAGGAAATAGGAATTGTTTAGCTACAAAAGGGCGAATGCTCAATACCCTTGGGAGGCTCTTTTAACTAAGTGTATAACGATATGGGATCTTGATTTTGATCTTGAAACAGAACTCCTTGGCATAAGCAATTCCATTATTGTATCTCTAGCAATGGTGTTATATTTTTAACTCATCCAGTGTACTGCTACAAAATCGATTGCTTTGACCATTAAGCTCCTTAATAAAATTAGAGTACTCTTGACTGTAGAGAATAAAATACAAGCAATGTGCATTACAATAAATATTGATTTACAATTTTTTGCGCTTAGAACATTAATTTAACTGAATTCAGAGGCGTCTCTAAAGAGGATACAAAAACTGAAACCTGACAAAATAATTAACTTTTGACTCAAAATCAATATGTAATTACATTTTAATAAACTTCAAATTGGTCTCACTTAGCTACAAATTCCTCTCAGATTTGATTAAATTCCAATAGCATTTTATTAGCAGCCCCTCCCAGCCTAAGCATCTGATTACGAGAGGCCTATCAAAAGCCTCTCCACTAATATTTAGCTGTTTCGGATGGGGTCTGCAGAGCTATAAATTAATTTAAGTGCCTGAAAATATTTTTGATAACATAAAATCAAACCGAGTGGAGGGAGAAAGCCCTTTTTCGTTTGTTGTTCGTGCTGTTGCGGTTCAGGCCTGAAAATTTAAACGGCTGGCCATTAAGCGGACCGAGTGGGATGTAGTTTAATGGCTTCATTTTGGGGGCATGGGTAGGACAGGGTTCAGACGGGCATGGACGGACATATCCCAATATTCGGCCCCACTTTGGCCAATTCTATTTGTCTTCTGCTTGAAGATTTAATTAAAAAAGTCGAGAGCATGCAAACGAAGTTTTTTAAAGGGAAAGGAAAGGAAAATGTGGCAGGCATAAGCCAGAACTTTTTGAGGGCTGATGGCATACCCGCCACAAAGGATGCGCCAAAGGCAGTCAACAGTGACGGGACGAGGCAAGCCAAACTTGGGAAAACTTATTCTTGGGAGCCCATCGTTATCATCGCCCATCATCAGGCTCGACAGATACAATAATAACAGCAACGGCAACGGCAACAGCAGAACAGGCAAAGCCAAAGGCAAAGAGAAAAGATATGACAGCCACTCGTCGTCTTCGATTCCTTCGCTGCCATTACTTTTAAAGTAAATTGAGGCAAAAAGGAGAAGCCTTCGAAAAGAATGTGGAGCAGGGGTAGTCCGGAAGCTTTGCCGCTCACGTTACGGCACTTTGCCTCCGCTCCACGCTCCACGCTTCGTTTCTTTCTGATTTTTCACTGCTCGTCATGGCCCTGATGGCTCTTGCTTGGAAAATTAATTGCATGCAAATATTGACAGAGCGAATGTAAATATAATTTCATTGTTTACTCATAAATACGCATTATTTGGAAAATGAAAATAGAAAAGCGCCATCCCTAGGGCTAAACGAAAAAATGGGATTAATAAAGGAAGGAAGCAGCAAAAAAACTAATTGCTGCTGACCGAAGATTGGAGTATACTTTTTTGTAAAGTAAAGCTGCACTGTGGGCTGATGAGAGGCTAATATTTCTCTTAATGCTACATCACAAACAATTTAATGCAGAATCCTGCAATCTCAATCACAGTTTCTCTTCTGATGGAGACACAATTTCATGTCCAACTGAAAGGGTATTGCACAGGTTTGGCAAAACAAAATCACAATTTTCCGGGGTTGTTTTTCTGGTGTGTGAGCTTGGAGGCAGACTAGATTTTGACAGACGCTCTAATCGGTTTAAACATTTGGTGAAAATTCTTCTGCTTAATTAGCATCATTATTTTTGATGGGGTCACGCAGGCAACAAAGAAATGCTACAGTCGGAAGGAGGAAACCTGGACCTGATAAATGGGCTGATTCTTAGCAAAGGTAATTAATGGGCAGGTGCAAGCAAGAAGGAGCTTAATTTCGATGAAGATGAGGCACTCAAGTGGTAATTAATGTGCCTGCTAAACACGAACATGAGTCTCTCAGTGCCACTGTGGAGGAGGTTATCGGCAGAGTTGATATAAAATGGAAGCCAATTAAATGTTACCAATCTGTGAAGCTGCCAAAAAGTATTCCGAAACGGGTCAAGTCTGTCCAGATTTCATCTAATACCTCTTCTCGTTTTGCCTGTTGGCTTTTGAACAAAACTTTCACGAACAAAAATAGCACTAAATTGCACACAACAGAACTCTCAATGCTTAAGACCCTCGGGCCGGGGGCCAAAACAACAATTTACGCTCTCCAACTTGCTCGAGTGTTGCGCTTAATCGTCAAAAACACTTCTTATCGAAAAGCATCTCCCACTCTCCCCAAGGAAACTTTGCTCATAAATTATTACACAAAATTAGTTGCACACCAGCAGAGGAAAATCACGATGTAAAAAAATTGTGTGGAAGGAAAGAGTAAAAGGAGAAACATCTCAAAGGACTTACAAAATTTAAAGCTCCAGGAAGAAAATGAAATATAGCTGAGCCGAGACAAAAAGCTAAATAATCACAGACATGTACACAGGATAATAAATGATTAACGTCCTGGCGGGGCTCTGTGTGGGATTGGGTAGGTCGTTTGTATATATCTGAGTATGGCATCCCCATCTTCCCCTCCTGAATTGGCGAGATTGCTGCCAAATTGTTGGCCAACTCAATGTTTTTGAATTGATATTGATGAGCTTAACTCATTAGGAAGGGTTTTACAGTACAAAATGGGGTCCATAATTGATAATTCTTCGACACTAATTTCCAGTCCAAACTAAGGAAAGAAAAAAATACTTTAGTACAAATAAACAACCCACATCAAGTAGACTATCACACCAAAAACTTTGAAAAGCAAAATAACTCATTATTCAAACATCAACCACCAGACAAAATGTCAGCTCAGAAGAAACATTCACCAAGGGAGCTAATACTTCGGTACTTCCAGGAAGAAAGAGAAAATAAGGGATATCAGATAACCTCATCGCCTGAGCTTTATCCACCTAGTGTCAAAAAACAAAAGAGTTCGCATCTCAACAGGCATGTCACATTCAACAAGCAGCGGATCAATCAAGAGTCCGCACAGGTTAAGAAAGATGCCAGGAAAAGCAGTGAGTGCCTATCAGCATGTCTGATCACGAGGTCTCCTTTGGATTCGCGATTTAAAGGAGGTGGGTTCAGAAAATTAATGAACACTTCAACGGTTCTGTTAATCCCTATTATCGTCTCCTTTTTTTATTTAGGTGCCAACAACCCAGCCGAGCGATCAGTGGGAAGATTGCCACGTACAGACAGTGAATGCCAGTTTAATGCACCAGGAATTGATTTTCTAACTGAACGGGACACTAATATCACAACCCACGAGGTCAAGATGGATACTCGGCTCTCGGCTCCTCTGAAAAAAAAATTAGCTAACAAGTGTGACTTTTTCCCAACATATGTGGACAATCGTCCATTCGAGGAGCAGGCAACCCAAACGCTCTACAGGTAATAATCAATACTCAATGAAGACTTTTAGGTAAATCTAATATTCTTTTTGACTCCCAGAGAATCCTCAGCACAAACTTTGGCATATTTACCAAATATTGAGGACAAGGATATAGACGAGCATGTAGAGCTTTTCAAACTGCCCTCAGCGCTTCCTGGCGATAAGCCCCCAGGGCTCTACGAGGTAGAAGTCTTGGAAAGATCCCGCAGACGGTGGGCCTTCAATGAAGCACTGACTGTTAACCTAAAGAAGCAATTGGATGAGGCCCGTGAGCTGGCAATGCAAACGAAGTATAAATCCATACTCGAAGCTTTTGAATGGGAGAGTTGGATCGAGCGAGAGGAGTACATACAAGAGTGTCAGAGGATGCGACTCGAGATCGTCATAAAGATGTTTGACAAGCGCGAGAAGGAGATGCATTCAGCATCCAAGACGCGCATGGAAATGGCTTGCGAACGCATCGAGAAACGTCGTCAAAGGGGTTTGCACAAGAACGAGATAGAGTATCAGCGTGGCAAACGCCGTAACGACATACAGCTCGCAAAGACGTCCCGGAGGTGGAAAAAGCAGAGTCCTATGTATGCCTTGGGGTCACCATGCTCCGANGAGAGTTGGATCGAGCGAGAGGAGTACATACAAGAGTGTCAGAGGATGCGACTCGAGATCGTCATAAAGATGTTTGACAAGCGCGAGAAGGAGATGCATTCAGCATCCAAGACGCGCATGGAAATGGCTTGCGAACGCATCGAGAAACGTCGTCAAAGGGGTTTGCACAAGAACGAGATAGAGTATCAGCCACCGTTTGCGGCATTGCTGTATGTCGAGCGTTTCTGCAGGGCCTCCACCTTTTTCGTCTCAGGATACATACGGAACCCCAGTGGTACGAGGCTCAAGATACCGGGTGAGTAGTCCGTGCCACAACTAGGCCGTGCATCTTTGAAAGGTCCGTGATTGGCGTTTCGGAAACTGTAATCCTACCTACTGGACCTCTTCGCTGTAAACTTAAACAACATGACATGTCCTTTTCGAAGGCTCAAGGAATGGTCCAAGCCCAAAGAGTACATTAAGGAATACGAACAAAACTTCTGCAGTGATAAAAATTTGCAAAAGCTCTACGACTCCTTGAAGGCATTAAGAACACTGTCATACGAAAACAAACTTCCACCAAAGTGTCTGAAGAAACGTTTCAAGCCCCGCGTGTACTCAGACAGGGTACATATGGACTCTGTGTTCTCAGCTGCGCCCAGTAAGCCCTACACTCCTCAAACTCCGAAGAAGGCTATAGCGCCATTTGACCTCAAATATGAACCCGATCGATCGAGCGCATTTGCCAGGCATTTACAAGACGACAGGAGGCAAGTAGACTTGGAATATCTTTTGCAAACGTACGAGGGCACCCACATTGGATGGCTTATGCAGTTCCTCTCAGAGGAAATGGCCCGGCTGAAGGAACAGCGAAGGCTTCACTTCTTTACTAATTTGGTCCAAAAAGAACGATGGCGCCGCGAAGCGAATGAGGCAGGCATGCGGCAAAAGGAGAACGAAATGAGAAGGATTTACGAAGAGTTGTTCCAGAAGAGCACCTTCGTCCACAATCATGTTAGCGACGAGTATATAAATACCATTCTTACACAAGATATGACCCACATCGCAGTCAACGAGGCCGCTATAACGGTGACGGGGCTTGCCAAGGATATTGATGCCGATATTGGGCGTTGGCTGGAGAGTTTCAAGCTCATTCAGACGCCACTAACCTATGATCCACTGCGACTGATGCTTCAAGACATGGTCTCCCCAGACATGAATGCTGCACTCGATCGTCATGAGAAGTCGCTAATCGTTAATTATATCGTGGAGGATGTGATATTTGGCAGAGTGTGGGGAGAGCTGGAGGCAATCGACATAGCCGGCACTCTGACCAGCGACTTCATTGATCGGCTCATCGACAACGATCTCTATTTGTTCTCCACGGATAGCGAGAGCGAGACACCTCAGAGATCATCCTGGTACGAGGCTCAAGCCATAATAAGAAAACTCATCCGCCAGGCAGTACCCGGACAACGCTGGAAAGCTGAAACCGAACGCATTGCGCATGAGAACCAAAACGATATGTTTGATGATATGTTTGCTGCAATCATGAACAAGATCGAGAACCCCCCATTGGTTCAATCTTGCGATTTAATCGAAGTGTGTCCAACACAATCGCACACTACCCTCAAAATGACGGATAATACTCGAGCTATGGAAATTTTGGAGGTCCAGGCCATGAGAGATCAAGTCGCTACGGATAGTTCGGAGGCGCTAAAAATTACAATCCTATCCCTATTCAAGAAAATGACAAAGGATAATATAACGAAAAAACTGGAAACCGACGAACCATATTGGGAAGATCACAACATTAATTTTGAAGACGATACATTGATCAAGTCGCAGAGCTACGAACCTCAAGGATCTGATCAAAAATTAGATTCTGATCTTTGTAGCATAATAGAAACTATTGACATTTGTAAAGAGAAAAATCTAAAGGCTCTGAGAGGTACCGGACATCCTAAATTGGAATTCAAAATAAAGGAAATCATCGCCCAAGAAAAAGAGGATGTTGAGGAAGAAAAGATGCAGGTGGAAATGGAGATGGGGATGAAGTGTGAGGTAGATATGGAGACTGAATCGGAAATGGAAATAACTATGGAGGGAGAAATGGAGCTTGAGATGGAGGAACAGGAAATACAAAAGGAAATTGCGATGGGCATAGTCGAAGAGACAAAGGTGGAGCGAAAGATAGATGAGGAAATTGTGGAAGATATTGATACGCAGAATATCCAAGACCCTAGTGTGACTGATAACGCCTCTAAGGAAGCTGAAGGAAATAACTCTGAACTAATGCCTCCCGATATGACAGAAGCCTCAAAGGATGTGGATTCAAATCTGATTAACAACCTCTTCGAAGAAGTCGAAGAAGCCGATGAAGAAGATGATAGACAGGCATTGTCTCTGTCTAAGAGTATGTTAGGAAAGAACAGCTCCGAAATAATTGCATTAGTTGGTTGAATTATATTCTCATTTTACCACACAGTGACAGTTCGAATAAATATTTATTTTTATACCAATATGGATATCTCTTTATATGCATCAACGAAGAGGGTTTTCAGGTTCCCATTTTGCAGTTGCTTAACTATGACTAACGTACTACCCAAATGATTTCAAGATAATTTGACCAAGTATGCCACTTGAAAAACATAAACCCAAATCAGACAAAAAATAATAAATACAACAAATACATAACTTCTAAACATTTACCAAATATTTCACGCTACAACAGACAACAGGTAACCCAGTAATTAGGGAACTAAACAGAAATGCCAGCATACGAGAAGCGACCCTCGAGGGAGCTTCTGGGGCATCGGGTGCTCCATGATAATCGCCAGAACGGACCAACCCGTTCCGCAACTGCACAACATTTTCCAATTCGTAAGAAGGAGCCAATGGCAAGTCACACCAAACGTGTCCCATACGGCAAACAACGAAGCAATGGTGCAAATGGACAACCATTGAAGGCCAAAAACGAGTTCATGCAAGCTGGACAGAGCCTCACATCATGTCTGATCACGAGGACCCCAATGGAACAAAGATTACCTGCTGGTGGGAAAACTACAGATCAACATTTTATTCTTTCATTCATTCATTCATCACATCCTTTAATATGTAGGTGCCAACAACCCAGCCGAACGCTCTGTGGGAAGATTGCCGCGTACAGACAGCGAATGCCAGTTCAAGGCACCAGGAATCGACTTTCTAACAGAACGGGATACTAATATCACAACCCACGAGGTCAAGATGCGTTCCTCGGTGACTTCGATAAAGAATTATTCCAACAAATGCGATTTCTTCCCAGAATATGTGGACAAGCGACCATTCAAGGAGCAGGGTACCCAAACGCTCTATAGGTAAGGTGGAAGGATCTTTAAATATTTCTGGACTATATGTCTGCTTCACAGGGAATCATCTGCACAAACGGTGGCATATTTGCCAGAGATCGTGGACAAAGAAATTAATGAGAATCTAGAGCTTTTCACCCTACCATCTCTACTGCCTGGAGACAAGCCACCAGGACTCCACGAGGTCGAGATCCTAGAGCGTTCCCGCAAACGTTGGAACTTCAAAAAGGCAGTGAAAGTGAACTTTTTGAAACAATTGCATGAGGCCCGCGAGTTGGCAATGCAAACGAAGTATAAATCCATACTGGAAGCTTTTGAATGGGAGAGTTGGATCGAGCGAGAGGAATCAATACAAGAGTGTCAGAGCATGCGACTCGAGATCGTCATAAAGATGTTTGACAAGCGCGAGAAGGAGATGCATTCAGCATCCAAGACGCGCATGGAAATGGCTTGCGAACGCATCGAGAAACGTCGTCAAAGGGGTTTGCACAAGAACGAGATAGAGTATCAGCGTGGCAAACGCCGTAACGACATACAGCTCGCAAAGACGTCCCGGAGGTGGAAAAAGCAGAGTCCTATGTATGCCTTGGGGTCACCATGCTCCGAGTTCTATGGCCCACTCATCAGGCACGGTGTTGATCCGGCACGTAGAAACTTTCCAGGCACTAACCGCAAAGCCTTTGACATTAGGATGGATGACCTGGAGAAGCGCGTGAACGTCGGCAACTTGACATGTCCTTTCAGAAAGCTCAAGGAATGGTCCAAACCTAAAGAGTATGTTCAGGAATACGAGCAGAACTTCTGCTCTGATAAAAATTTGCAAAAGCTTTACGAGTCTTTGAAGGGCTTGAGAACGCAAACGGCTAAGGAAAAGGCAGAGCCGAAGTGTCTTCGGAAAAGAAAGAAATTTACCTCGGGACATGATGAATACGATCAGCAGCCAGATCACATTCATTTCTATCAGGCAGCGCCAAGACAGGTAGAACAGCCGGAACCGGCAGACCCTCAGAAGCAGGCTCCTCGTCCTCCAACAAGAAGGCCCACAACACATGCAAAGTATTTAGAGGCTCAGAGGCGACAAGAAGCTTTTGAGAATTTACTGAACACGCACGAAGGCACCCATATTGGGTGGGTCATGCAGTTCCTTTCTGAAGAAATGGCCCGGCTGAAGGAACATCGAAAGCTCCACTTCTTTACCATTTTGGCCCAGAAAGAGCGATGGCGACGCGAAGCGAATGAAGCAGGATTACGACAAAAAGAAAACGAACTGAGAAGCCTCTACGAAGAGTTGTTCCAAAAATCTACTGGGGCCCATAATCAGGTTGGCAAAAAATATCTCAGCGTTCTTTTATCAACAGATATGAGCCACATAGCAGAGAGTGAGGCGGCCATAACGGTGACCGGTCAGGCTAGACAAATCGATTCAGATATTCAGAGATGGCTGGAGAGCTTCAAGCTCATTCAGACGCCACTCACCTATGCTCCTCTGCGATTGATGCTTCAAGACATGGTCTCCCCAGACATGAATGCTGCACTCGATCGTCATGAGAAGTCGCTAATCGCAAATTATATTATCGAGGAAGTGATATTTGGCAGAGTGTGGGAAGAGCTGGAACCATTTGACATAGCCGGCACTCTGACCAGCGACTTCATTGATCGGCTCATCGACAACGATCTCTATTTGTGCTCCACTGACAGCGAGAGCGAGACACCTCAGAGATCATCCTGGTACGAGGCTGAGGCCATAATACGAAAACTCATCCGTCAGGCAGTACCCGGACAACGCTGGAAAGATGAAACCGATCGCATTGTGCACGAGAACCAAAACAATCTGTTTGATGATGTGTTTGCTGAAATCATGAACAAGATCGATGATCCCGCACCATTGAAATCCTCCGACCTAATCGCTGTGCGTGCATTTCAATCTCAACGGCGCATTTCAAAGACTGACAATTTTCGAACCTTAGATAATGCAAGCCTCCAAATGATCCTAAGCTCATTGCCAAACTCAGAATTTGAGCGAATGCAAACACTTTCTCTACAAAAAAAGTTAAAAAAGGACAATGTTACAGCTGGATTGAAGACCTTCGATAAGTACCACGAAGATGAAAATGAAGAATTAGATATCTTTATAAAATCAGAGGTGTTTAAACGGGTGGACGCAATGGAAGACACGCAAAAAAAACACCCAGAGGATGTGTTCAGCATCACTGGAGTGATAAATCTAAAAGAGGAAAAGGACTTTAAGACGCTCAAACATGAACAAAATGTGAAAGTGTTGTATGTACCATCTGTCAATGAGTTTGTAGCTCCTGGTAGTCTCCATGAGACCGTCTTCGAGGAGGAAGAATGTGCCGATGGTGAAGAGGAAGCTAGCACTGAATCGAAAGCTAATTCCACACCAGATGTTCTCGGCCTGCATCTAACCTCTAGGGAAAGCAACGAAAATGAGGAAGATGTGGAAGCTGTGGAAGATGTGGAAGATGAGGAAGGTCTGGAAGAACATTTTCTTGAGGAACAATCCGGGTCGATAGAAGCCAAGACTTACAGAGCGAATTCTCAAGTATTTAAGTTCAGATGATTGTTTAAATTTAAATTTTTTGACAGTTGCATATATTACTTACATACATCTAATGTAGTTGTAATGCAAACTTAGAGCAGTACAAAAAATATGTTATACATAAAACAAGTGTCAAAAAGTGTAAAACATATTATAAAATAATTTAACAACCGGTATGATGGGATGCCCTATGCAGAACATTTTAGACGAGAGTGAGATAGAGTGTGATAGCAGCGGCGTGGGGCTGCTTCTAAGCCTAGGCGAAAGTAAGCGCGAGATAAGAACAGGAACGAAGAAGGCTGAATAGGAAGACGAAAGAAAGGCCGCTGGCGACGACCACTGCTTAGTGTTTTTATTTCGCTCTCGCTCTCACCTTGTACGGATCCGTATCAGAGCCATAGCCGAAAACTGTAAAAGCATTTGCTCTGCTCTGCTGTAGTTTTTTCAGGAGCTCAAAACTGCGTGCGAGATGAGAGCAGAGATAAGGCAATTTTTAGATTTACTATGGCTCTCGGGTGTTTTTGTTGTCTGCTGCAGCAAAGCAAAGCAAATGCAAAGTGAGAGCGTTAGCGAGACAGAGCAGAGCAATATTTGTATTGATATTGCTGTAGTAAATGCGAACGCTGGACTAATTATCGGGCTGGGAAACCCGACAATAACTTAAGACCCGTCGCACACGAAATTACGCTTTAAAGTTATAACTTAACACTTGACTTTTACTTTTATTGAATCATCCGAAAGCACTCTAAGATTCTAAGAGGGGAATATAGAAAATATAATTTAATAAAATGGATCTGTAATATTAGAAACTCAGCTGACAGAGCAGCGCTGTGCCACGGTTAATCCAGTGGGACGTTGGAGTATTTGGATTGCAGAGCAACAACATGGCCACCACAAAGTTGGTACTGTGTCCTGTGGTGGACAGGACACCCCGTCGTTCGGCCGTCTTGTAGAGCGGACACAGATAGTTGTGACGCTCGGGCAGATCGGTCCGCTTGAGTGGCTTCAACCATATCAAGGGCATGGGATCGAAAAGTTCCCTTGGACGCGACTCGGCTAAATATTTGGCCGTGCGATCCCAACGGGCACCCTCTAGGTAAATCCCATACACATAGACTCCATCGGCGGGTGCAGTGATGCCCTGGATTTCGTTCTCCTCCAGCGAGAGGACCTCATAGTCGAAGGCAAGCAGATCTATGGAAATAACATACTTTCGTGCATAGTTCTGCTGGGCGCCAGTGAGGAAGGCCTGGGTGAAAAAGAATCCCGACAGCCAGAATGTGGAGGGGGCTCCATGGTCGTACCAGTGCTGAAATGAATATGAAGGGAACACATGCGTTTATTACAGCGAACCGTACCAGGGCACCTCTTATCGATTGGCCCAGCAAACAAAAGTCGGCACCCTAGCAGCCGCTCCGTTGCTAACATGCAAAATTCTTCCTTAGCTTACCTGCAGGAATTCCAGGCGGTGCAGAAAGTCGGTTACATAGCTGCCGAGTGGTTTCAGGCTGGGATACGATTTACCAGCCCACATTGCTGGTATCTTCGCAATCAGGACAGACTTATAGACAGCCTCCACAGCGGCAGACATCACCACCAAACCTGTATGGAAACCAAAAGCATCAGTAAAGTTAATAAATGTAGGAGGCTGTGCGAAAAACAAAATGCCAAGTTAAAAAATTAAAACTAAATTAGTATAAAACAACACGTGAATCCACAAACACATAAACAATACATTATACACTATAAAAAATTTGCAACAAAAACAAAGATAGATTTAGCTGGAAGCTCACACAAAATGCCAGCACACGAAAAGAAACTGAGAAAGGCCCAAAACCGATTGGCCCTTCTCGAGGAAAAAGAGAAACGAAACAACAACTCAAATGTGGATGATTACACATATTCAACTGGACACCAAAAGAAACATTCGCCAGCTCAGACCAAACGGGTGACATTTAGCAAGCAAAGGTCCCAGGGAGAGTCACCACAGATACCCAAAGATGCCTGTCTGCAGGGGCTCACATCTTGTTTGATCACAAAGTCCACGTCGGATCATCGACTACAGGCCGGTAAGTGCTACAGGAGATCAGGAATGATCAATCAACTTTATCAATATTTATTTCACTTTAGGTGCCAATACCCCTTCCGAGCGATCGGTGGGAAGATTGCCGCGTACAGACAGCGAATGCCAGTTCAAGGCACCAGGAATCGATTTTCTAACAGAACGGGATACGAATATCACAAGCCATGAGGTCACTATGCATTCCTCGGTGACTTCAATAAAGAATTATAACAACAAATGCGATTTCTTTCCAAAATATGTGGACAAGCGACCATTCAAGGAGCAGGGTACCCAAACGCTCTATAGGTAAGACGATAGGAACTTTATATATTTCTATGTTATTCCTTTGTGCCTGCTTCACAGGGAATCCTCTGCACAAACGGTGGCCTATTTGCCAGAGGTCATGAGCAAAGAAATGAATGAGCATCTAGAGCTTTTCACTCTACCATCTTTGCTGCCTGGAGACAAGCCACCGGGACTCCATGAGGTTGAGACCCTAGAGCGGGCCCGTAAACGTTGGGAATTTAATAAGGCAGTGAAAATGAACTTAATGAAACAATTGCGAGCTGCACGGGAGTTGACAATGCAAACCAAATACAAATCCATACTGGAGGCATTCGAGTGGGAAAGTTTCATGGAACGGGAGGAATACATACAAGAATGCCAGATGATGAGACTCGAGATCGTCATAAAGATGTTTGACAAGCGCGAAAAGGAAATGCATACAGCATCCAAGACACGCATTGAAATGGCTTGCGAAAGAATTGAAAAACGGCGACAAGAGGGTCTACGCAAGAACGAGATAGAGTATCAGCGTGGAAAGCGCCGCATTGAGAGCCAGCTTAACCCCACGGTCCGAAAGTGGAAGAAACAGAGTCCTATGTATGCGCTGGGATCACCATGCTCCGAGTTCTATGGACCACTTATGAGACACGGTGTGGATCCGGCACGTAGAAACTTCCCAGGCACTAACCGCAAAGCCTTTGACATCAGGATGGATGACCTGGAGAAGCGAGTGAGCATACAGAAACTACAGTGTCCGTTCAGAAAGCTCAAGGAATGGTCCAAGCCAAAGGAGAGTATCAAGGAGCACGAGCAGAACTTCTGCTCTGATAAAAACTTGCAAAAGCTCTACGACTCGCTGAAAGGCTTGAGAACGCTGGCGAATAGGCACAAGGCACAACCGAAATGTCTCAAGAAGCGGCCGATACCAGCTTCTGAGACAGAATCCATTATAGGACAAGAGTTTGAATTTCAAGATCCCAATGCCGCATACGGCGTAATGCGAATAGCCAAGGAAGAGACCGCAGATATCTCAACGACATACAAAGCACCTACTTTCAAAGGTACCCCTCCACAAACAGAGGGCTCAGTGTTCAGCAAGCGAGTGCGAGATGAGAGAAGCAGCCAGGAACTAGAGAATCTACTGCACACGTACGAAGGCACCCACATTGGTTGGGTCATGCAATTCCTATCCGAAGAGGCGGGACGACTGAAGGAGCTCCGCAAGCTCCACGTGCTATCCATGTTAATGCAGAAAGAGCGCTGGAGACGAGAGGCAGGCGAGGCAGGCTTACGACAGAAGGAGAACGAAATGCGAAAGCTCTACGAAGAGTTGTTCCAGAAGTGCAATGTGGCCAACAATCAAGTCAGCGATAAGTATCTAAATGCTATTCTTACAACAGATATTAAACACATAGCTAAACACGATGCTGCAGAAACAGTGACCGATCTTGCTAAAGTGATTGATGCCGATATCGAGCGTTGGCTGGAGAGCTTCAAGCTCATCCAGACGCCACTCACCTATGCTCCACTGCGACTGATGCTTCGAGGCATGGTCTCCCCAGACATGAATGCTGCACTCGATCGTCATGAGAATTCGCTCATCGTTAGTTATATTGTGGAGGAAGCGATATTTGGCAGAGTGTGGGAAGAGCTGGAACCATTTGACATAGCCGGCACTCTGACCAGCGACTTCATTGATCGCCTCATCGACAACGATCTCTATTTGTTCTCCACTGACAGCGAGAGCGAAACACCGCAAAAAACTTCATACCACGAGGCTGAGGCCATAATACGAAAACTCATTCGTCAGGCAGTACCCGGACAACGCTGGAAAGATGAAACCGATCGCATTGTGCACGAGAACCAAAACGATCTGTTTGATGATATGTTTGCTGAAATCATGAACAAGCTCGAGAATCCACTACCCGTTTTACCCTCTCAATTGATCGATTTACGTGGGACGATATCTAACCGTACAATTCGCTTGACGGACGACATACGTGGGTTGGAGAAAATAGACTACAAGGCAATCAGAGAGCAGTCGTCACAGCCAGACACAGAACTACTCCGCATTCAGCTGCTGAACTTGTTCAAGAGAATGACGGAGGACAAGATCACCAGGGAGCTGGACACCCTTGACATATACCAAGGGGATGACCACCTAACTGAAGATCGGGATGTACACATCGAAACGCAGGTTTTCCAAAACGCTGTCAATATATCAGGTGACGTTGATTGGGAGCCTGATGTCCAGAAAGGCGTCGAAGTTGAGGCAGAGGTTGAGTTTGAAGAAGAGGCTGAGAATGAGGCTGAAGAAGAACAAGAATCTGAAGGAGGCATTGACATGGAGTTTGAGGACAAACTTGGGGCCTATTATATGTCTGAAGCTGATGACGAGTTTGAAAATGACAACGAAACGGATAATTCCTCGTATCGAATCTACTCGGAGGAAGGAGAAGAAGAATTATCATTGCCCAAGGAAGAACTGACAGAACCTGATGGCTTGACAAAACGAAAGAAGTCTCAGGTGAAGATTATTACCCAAGAAGTTGTTACCGAGATGATCGACCAATCACCGATACAACTTCTTGATCCGGAAGAAAATGAGGCGGACCTCAGGGCCGGTGGTTCTGTCTTCAAAACAAGTTTCAACTCGACGGCAAGCCATGTGGCAAGAGAATACAACCTGATCGAACCCTTAGAACACCAAACTTCAGATCAAATACTGCATGAAAAACCAACAACCTCAAAGGAAGTGGGAAAAGTCGTCTCTCAAACAGGATCGCAACGATCACAGCAATCACATCGTAAATAAGGTGCGAAAGTTAACTGATTCGCGTGTTGAAAATATTTAAAATAAATATAAGAATTACATAAACATAAACTCACCCTTGATGCCCTTTTTCAGTGTAATCAAACTCGTGCGGATGGTGTTCAGCAGGACATTGAAGCGCACCATTTCCTGCACCAGCACCGTGTTCATGCTCTGATGGTATATGGTAGGATACTTGAGCAGCGCCGCATCCCGATCGAAGAGCTTGGGTAATTTGTCTAGAATATCGGTGGCCACATTGGTCACTACCTCCTCGGGTGTGAGCGCTTTGGAGTCGTCGCTGTCATCGTGGGAGGCGCTCGTGTCCTTCAGGGGCAATGGGTACAGGGCAAGGAAGGGGGGACTTGTGGGATAAGTGGGTAGGGACAGGTTCTCGGGAAAGCGTCTACTAAGCACTTCTACATAGACCTTTTGTGTTTTCTCCAGTTTCTAAAATGCGGCACAAGTAAACAAATCTATAAAGCAGAAAGCTTCTAACAAGCATTAGCTGGCACTTACACGTCTCTCATAGAGATCCTGTTTTGAATGTGGCAATTAAAGCGTTAAATTTATTACATTTTATACAAAGAGAATTACTCTGGAAAACCTTACCCAGCGATCCTTTTATGGCAAGCAAGAATGTGTATAAAGATGCAGTTTAAGGGTATTTTCCAAGCCTTAATTTGTGGTCTAAAACTATACAACTCTCTAAAAGCATGAACAAGAATGGACTTACCTGTGTCAGCAACGTGTGCGAGAGCAACATGTCCGTCTCTTTTTGATCCCTCATAATGTCTGCATTGGCATGGAAGCCAAAGATGGCCGGTGACGAGATCTGAGGCAGCTCTCGGGTGTAGTTCATGTACAACTCGACTTCCTTGTACACGGGAACATAGTACAGCTCCGACTCGTCGAGGAAGTATGGCTTTTCCAGATCGATCACCGCGGGACAGTAGTACAGATCTAGTATGGTCTTGAGGGTACGGCGATCCCAGTCGTCGGTGACACGACCTCCGTAGTTGCACTCGCCCGTGAGATAGCGCAGAGCATCGTAGTTCACTGACTCGTACTGGTTGAGGAACATGCGCAGCTGCATCAGGGATATGCGCAGATCGGTCTCGTTGAACTCGTAGGGTATGTTCCAGCCGATGGGGCCGAAGGTGCGGCGTTCCTGGATCACAGCATGGAAGAAGCAGAGCGAGTAGATCAGCTGCTTGAAGATGCGCGGCTGGGTGCAGGACTCGTACCACTCCGGATCACTGATCGGATCGCTGAACATAGAACGGAGTATGTTTGAGCGCAGACCCTTGGGTGGTTCGTTGGTCATTTTGATGCCATTCTGCAGCACCACCACCGGGAAATGATCGGCCGGATATGAGGTAAGCCACAGACGGAAGTCCGGATGCGTCGAGTCTGGCAGTAAGTTCTCGCAGATCTTTTCCAGCATGGGCATAAAGCTGGCTGCCAAATGGCAGTTCTGCAGCACCACCCAATTGCCCATTTTGACACCCTCATCGATCATCTTCATGGCAATGGGACCCTGACCCTGGCCCAGCGACAGAGAGAACAGACGGTTAGTGCCGAAGCCCTGGTCCTCTGCAAACTTCAACAGCGTGGCCGTGGGATCGGAGCCAGGCGTCAGAATGAATATCAGCGGCACACAGCAGTGCGAGTCACCGAAGGAGGCCATCAAATCGAATTGCGGCGGGTCGACAAACTTGGGACCCAGCTCTCCAGACACAAAGTTAAGCACGGCTGGCACCAGTTTATCCGGTCGAAAGACCCGCAGCAGCAACAGCTTCTGAAAGACGGAGATGCGCTTGCTCCAGGCAGCGGGTATGTCCTTATTGTCCTGCGGCACTTTCGAATCAAAATACAATTTCCAACTGTTCGTATTCGCAACAAAATCCTCGCGTAAGCCCTTAAAGTTGGGCAAATTGGTCAGCCGGCAGACCTCATCCCAGTTCTGTACGCCCAGCCAGTGGGTGGGATTCTTGTGCGGATTCTCCAGACCAATGCCTCCAGTCAGCAGGAACATCCATTCGGCGTTGTCAATCAAGTTATCGTGCTTCATCAGGTTGATGTTCAATATAAGCGAGAACAACAGCTTATCCTGTGGAAAGGCCAAAACATTTCATTAGAAACGGCAAACAAAAAATACGAAAAAGGGCTACGGATGGTATGTGTGATTGGGTTCGTTCAGGGTCATCATTTTGGGCTTGTTTTCGCATTAAATGGGTTACAGAAAACCCCAAAAGGTTGCCCTCGCAAATCAAAGCATTTTCCGAAGCAAACCAAGCGGCGATGCCGCTTCTCTGATAGCAATTCCCTTCATTTCTTTCTTTTTGCAAGAGAAAATTAAAAGGCCGGGGATCAAAGGTTAACTCATGGCTGTGGCGCTACAGGAAGCAAGCTACAGGGAAAGTACAGGGCATGACATAATTGACTGAAAACAGCATAAAGCTAGGTAGAACTTGTTTGGATTATTATTTCATTTTTTCCCCCTTCTTTTAGTTTCTTTTGCCAGGGTACATCCTTTGATTGCAGGCAGCAATGTAATAATATTATTCGAGTAGCTCGAAACCTGCACTGTGGGCGATGTGAAGGTGGTTTTAGGAGTTTTGAATCACAAATTAGTTTCAAAAAAGTGTGGATATATTCAAAGGGAAATGTAATATCATCAAAAATATGTTATAGGTAATTGATTGATGGAACAAAAATGGGAGATGGCAACACTTTACTGTAGAGAATGTGTCCCTCAATCCCACGTTAACATCCACTGCAAGTGCAGTGGCAGCCACTGCTGCCCTTCATTGTCAGTTGAAGTGGCATTCGAGTAGAATGTACTTGGGTACTAAAAGAACTTAAATATTATTTAAAACCAAGTCAAGTCAAGTCAAGTATAGCACGAAGCTCAGCCACAAAGCAAATGATACGCAACGGCATACGCCTCAAATGTCACATTATTCGATTATGCGCAATTACGGGGCTAACGATGGCTAAAGGGTACGGTACGGACGGGTCGGGCACCGGTCAACGGATGGACGAAGGTTTGACAATAATTGGCATTAGCCATGGGCACTCACACGCTCGAACAGACTCCGACAGATGTTGACATACAGGCTGTAGGTGAAATGATTCCGCAAGTCCTGCAGGCGGGCCACGATATCGTCCACCTTCTCGGTGTTATCGATGGAGGACATGTACAGGTTGACAAACCAAACCAAACTGTACTGATACATGGGATCAATGTTGGCCAGTTCCACTGAAATGCAAAAATAAAATATAATATATGCAGAGTGCTTACAGATATGTCCGTAGATGGTTTACCTATTGTGAAGAATAAAATTGTAGAGTGCTCGGCTATTGGTACATAACTCAATCGAGCAATATCAATTTGCTTTTCGGTGGCCTCCGTAATAATTTGCTTCTCATTAATGTCATTAGCCAAGGCCTTGGCCGAACTCAATATCTGCACGGCCGTCTCATCTTCCAAGATATTTTCAGCGGATGAAAGCACTTCCAGTATCTGGTCTTCAGTCTCCTTTAACATGCGCTTGTTCTCAGCTCCCTGAACAATTAGATTATTCTTCTCCGCCTCCAAATCGGGACGTTCCCGAGCCACCGTAATGCCCAGCAATTGATCCTGTAAGCCCTGTGTGGTAATCATAAAATTAAGGAGGGTTACCTTGACAGCCACCTCGGGTAGATAATGTGGATTTCGCAGCTTCGTTGTCATATAGAATCTGGAATCAAAAATCGTTTCAAACTTGCATGTTAGGAGAAGCAAATTGAAATATTTCCCTACCTAAAATTATGATTATACTCAATCACAGAGTCGCCCAACTTGATGCAGAGTGTACCGCCCTGCTTGAAGAGCTGCTTCAGCAACACCGACTCCAAAATGGGATCCAACTCCTCGCCAATATTCTCCAGCAGCACGGGCAAACCAAACTGTATGGCATTCTCCATGACGCGAGTGTAGTCCGGCTGATTGAGACGTATCACACAGAGTTTATTGTTCTTCTCATAGTTCTTGATCCATTTGTTGGCCTGTCCCTGGGGATCAATCATCAGTGGCCAGCGGCGTGCATTCCTGCAAGAGGCACACAAATAAATGAATATACGTAATCGTGTATCTAAACACGCACTTTAAATGATATTACAAATGCAGGCAATTTGTCAACAGGCACACAGCCTGGACTCCAACAACGAGCCCATCATTTTGTTGGAAGTTGGAACATTAAAAAGAGATCCGCATAAATACACATTCAATATTTACGTCAATAATTCATAAGCGTAAATAATTCTATAGACATTTTTTTGCTCGCATTATGTGGGTAGGTGCATGCATGTACATAAATACATACATATGTAGACCCCCTTCTTCTGTGGTGTGGGTTTTGTGGGTTTTGCAATGAGAGCAAACTCGGCTTCAAATATGCCAATACATCATGCAAACGCAAACGTTAAGCCACAGACAGAAGTACATTACAGAGAGAGCGTAGAAGGTTATTGTCTTCCAAAGGGGTTTCGAAAGTTATTTCATTTTCTTACTAATTACTAAAAAATAAAATACTAAAACGACTACTGTCAACTTTAACTTTCTATTCATGAAGCTTCCCTCTATTTAAAATGTCTCAAAATACGAGCTCAAGAAATACACAAAATACAAAATTCTATCATCCGATTGCTTGCTTTAAAGCGTATCAAAATATGAACTCAATAAACTCAGCTAAAATATTTGTAATTTTAATATAAGGATTGGTAGATACTTAGCCCCCCCCCCCCCCAATAGGGGGTTTCGGGAGCCTCTGAATAATATGTTCATATACATATATTTATGGATGTGTGTGCACACGGCGATTGCGGCTGTTTGTGGGTGTTTCGAACACAACATATAGAGAGTAACAGAGGGGCGAAGCTATTGCGATAACTCAGAGCCGCAGTGGCAACAGCGATGGGGGCACTGGCTCTGGCTCTGTGGCTGTGGCAATGGCATGAAAAGAGTGAGATCGAGCAAGAAAAACAACAATAACTTGCAGCAGTGGCAAACGTTGATGGCGATGGCA